GTAAAGCTATTATGGGTATGAAAAGTTCCCATTAATCTGCTCCACACATGGATGTTTCTGGATAAAGTTCAGTAGCCAGATCCCTCTTTCTTTGTGTGCATCAAACGAAGCAGAAAAACGCCTCCAATTTAAAGACACCAAATGAATAACCAAATAGATGAGATTAATTTTTGTTTAATCCACGTGGGCAGCAAAGCCAATGGCCAGTGTTTGTATGCGGACTTCTCCTGGGAGTTCATTACCAGCTGAGCCTGTAATAAGTTAATGCAGAGATTCCATGGAAATAGGGGGTTAATTATATGCAGAGGATGTTGGCCAATGTACAGCTCTGAACAACAAAAATAGCCCAAAGTCTTGTGCTTTGGATGTGGAATCAATTAACGAGGTCCACGGCATGTACCAGAATTTGTTAAGATAGTTGTTGTACTATAAGGATGCTTTATTATTATTTTTCTCTAAAAAGCTAAGAAAATAAGTGGATAATAGAAGACCAAGGACAGAAAGACATGAGACTGGTAATAAAACACTGGACTTTGGACTGGGGCCAGAGCAAGCTTTTCAATGGGCTTGAAGTTTGGACTGCAGCGGAGTTTGAACAGGCTTTCACTAACTTTCCGAAAGGCTGCAAGTACTAGACAGGGAGAAGAGGTTGCTGTTAGTTTACCAGCTCCCTGCTCTCTGCTGGCAAGAGCGTTACGCTGCTAATATGCTGTAGCCCTTAGACTGACTGATACCAGCATGTGGTACGGCGTGCTGCAGGCTCAGCTCCGAAGCTGAAGCATAAAAATCCTCCTCGATGCTGGCTGGCACAAACTTAATTTTTTTCCCCCTTTCCACATCTGGTCCTAATATAAAATGTGTCTTTCCGCCTTTTTTTTTTTTTTTTTTTTTTCCTTGCCACATCGTTAGGAATGGCTTCTTTAAAAAAAATAGTGTCCCCCCGCTCTGTATTTCTAGGTTTTAGAGTTGTGTGTATGTCTGGTAGTTTAATAACACAGTTTGGGTACTGAATAGGGCGCTGTGTGTTTCTAAAGGGATGTTGTTTCACAGAAAAGACAGAGAAAGAAGTGATTGCTTTTACTTCTCTTCTGTTTTCAGAGTTATGAAATACACTTTCAGTCATTACAAGGTTTCAAGGAGCCCCTTGAACAGGTAGAATACAAATGTAAAATGAAAAGATCCGACCCATTTTCATCCCCTTTAATTTTAATACAAGCCTTGGGCATGCTCCAGACACTTCTGAAGTTTAGCAGCTTCCACTGCATTTGCCTTTTTTTTTCTTTTTATTTTTTTCCTCTTCACAGGCTTTATCCCTAAAGCCATTAGTTTGTTCCTAGAAATTATCTACTTGTTTGTGGTGTTTGCTGTGTTTTGGTTGTTGTTGTTTGTTTTCCTCATAGAATCCACAGGCCAAAGCAAACAGCACTTCAGAAAAATGTTGCAAGACAGCTCAGTTTTGAGCCAAGTGTCCCTGATAACTTCCCAGCACCTTTGCTGAAGCAGTTGGATGGTGTCACCCCTGGTGGGGGCAGGGACTGCTGGGTTTCCATAGAAATCCCAGCCGGTAAGATTTTATTGAACTAATTAGTGTAGTCCTGAGCAACTCTGTGGGCGTTAATTTGTGGGGTTCCCACCAGGTTCTTCATCTGTTTGTACTCAGCCCCCTGTGGAGAGGGTGGGCCTGGACCTTTTAGCGCGTGGACCCCTGGAGGCACCTGGCAAGGTCTGGAGATCTCCGAGGGGCCCACCTGAGGCCAAAAGCACCACTGAAGCCCCCTGCCCGGGCTGGCCAGGGCCAGGGCAGGATTAATGGGGAGGGAGTCATGGTGTTTTACAACAGTGCGAGGAGGCCGGCTGCAGGAGCAGGGACAGGCTGGAGAATTGGACTCGGGGAGCAGAGGCGATGCCCGGGGACCACCCTGACCTCTGGCCTGCCCGCCTGGCTGCTTGCGGTTAAAGTGTCACCAGCCAAGGTAGCCGCGGCCTCTGGCACATGCCTTGCCTCCAAGGGCAGCCGGGGACAAGGTCGGAGCAGCAGGAGGGGAAGATTATTTTCATGGCAGCTTGTTAGGCAGATGGGGAAGAGGACACAGAGGGGGTCAGGCAAGAGAAGGATGCAGTAGCCAAGTGGAGGCAACCCGCCTCAGGCAGGCAGGTCCATGAGGAGACACAGAAGCTATGGGGCTCGTTAGTTAAGGGCCCAGCCTGTCAAAGGAGCCATCACTAATACTTGTGTTTACTTAGATGTTGCATGAGCATGGGCATCTCAGTTCGCCTGCAAGGCCACGTTTGCCTTCAGGCGCTGAGTTACAGGTGCGCTACCAGCGAACTCCTGCATGGCAGCATGCAGCTCCCCCATGCCCCCTGTACCTAAGAGGCATTATAGCACTAGGAGGCTGCTTCTGCTCTCTGGCTTGCCACCATTGTAGATGGGAAAGCTAAGTCCCAGGTACCCAAGTTGAATATTATCACTCAACTGCCTCGTTAGTATTCTGCAACTGGTTCAGTTAGGGTCAACATCAAAGGAAATGTGAAAGTCCAGCCCCGTGCATAAGTAAAGTATAAGACAATGTCATTTTCTTGTTTTCTGAAGAATTTGGGGATAAGGAAGGGAGTTCTGGCGGACTCTGGATTTGTTGATTTTAGTTCTTCCTTGTTTGGAAGTGCTTTTGGATGGGGTAGCCAGCTGCTGACACAGCTGTGTAGTGCCATGTCCCGTGCCTTCAACCCAGCAGAAACTATTCACAGAGCAAGAACAGACGACAGAGTCTAATTGCTTTGTAACTAATCTGAGTAAGGAAGTATAATTATGATAACTATCACCGGGGGATGTTTCAAAGAGAATGCATGCTAGATACTGTGACTAAGCACTGAATTTTTTTCTGTCCAAGTGCTTCCACCCCAGCAGCTAGCCCTACGTATATAAATAATAGCTCTGTTGGCTTCAATTAGATACTCCATCTAAGGTCAGTCGAGTACCTGCCCTGTCAGAGTGGGCCACAGGGCAGATGTGAGACACTGTGGTGTCACCTCATCCACACCTTTCCACTCCTCCTGCAGGCTCCCAGCCCACAGGCTGCTTTTCAGCATTTTGCCTTGTATAGTTTTAAGTGGGTCAGGCTACATCTGATTTACCTCTTAAACCACTTCCCTATTAAAATTCAGATATTTGTTCACACTCAAATAAAAATACATATCAATATTTTATAATTTCTGCCGTGTATCCCCAGGCACAAATTATATTGTAATATTAAATTGGCTAGCTTGTTTTAATAGTTCCCGGCTTTTGGTTTTACGTAACACTGCAGGTGTGAATCTAGTAGCAATACCGTAGGTGTGAATTGTTATGTTAGCATAATAGTTTGTACTTTATTGTACTTTATTGCTTAATTGGATTCTTCCATAAGGTTTCTGCAGTTATTACTAGGAAATAATGCCAAGCTTTTCCAGGAAAAGAGTGATACAGGTTCACTAAGATCCGTCTGATTTCAGTGCATGACTGGGTGTGGGAAGTGAATGAAAGATGTCATTAAGTGAATTAAGAGAGTGCTTATTGATTTTTTAATAAAAAGCAGAGCAAGCTAAAAGATGCTCCTTGTTATGCATAGATATCTGTAGCCCCTAAGAGCCCTTTGGGAAAACAGCTGGCTGAGTTTTCTGGCAAAGGAAGCCCTCTCCCACATTTGGGGGATTCCCAGGTGGTGGGTGCTTGCATACTCTGTGATCTCCTCTTCCCTCTTTGTCCTTCCCACTGCCGTGCTTCTGCCAGAAGACAAAAGAAGATCAAAGTTGTTTTTACAGCAACACAGAGGACCTGATGCCATGGCCACTGTACCCTAAGGGAGCACGCCCCTGAGCCACCCCACATAACCCAGTCCCAAAGCAGGGGGGATGCAGGCAGCCCCTCTCATCAGCACGAGCCCCCCCAGAATCCTGTGGTTCTTGCTGCTGTGCCAGTGAATTGAAAGGACAGAGAGAAGTCCCACGGGCCTGCCACTTGAGCATCAAGATATCTACTGTAAGCATGGAGACACTGGGGTGTGGGGACCAAGGGTGTATTGCAATGGTTGGAACGAGTGAAAGCTGCTACTCCTGTGAGTCACTCAAATTCCCTCCACATGGTCTTGCAAAATGGTTTCTCCTCTCCCTTCTTCTCCTTAACAGTTTGCCTACTCATGCTCAAGTTCATCATTTGCTTTTGTTCTTCATTTAAGTTCTGTTCTTCATCTGATGTCTGCCTGGAACTGCTGCCTTAGAGTAGGGGTATATATTTGCTTTCAGCTGGGTGAAATTTTTATGCCTAGTAACTTGTTTTGAGGAACAGTAGGGTAGCTGAGTACCCTAGTTTCATCAGACATTCATCATGCAGAATAGGAAGCTTTTGATTTGCACTTCTTGTATTTTCCAAAAATATTAATGAAAAGCATGTCTGGGCAACAGCTACAAAATATGGATGCAGAGGTAGATTTCAAAGGTGCAGCGTTTTGCATGGGGTCCCCAAAACAATGGGATATTATGTGTGCTGAATCTTGCCATAACAGGAATCAAACTGAAAATCTTCACAGCTGAAAGCCCAATGCACACAGCATTAACTGTGGGGTTAACAGGACCTAGCAATGCAATGGATTGTCCTTTTGTATGGCTGAGGCACATACAGTATAGTACTTGTGTCTTCCTTTTTCTGGGTCTCACCAGGTCCAACCCCTGGAGAATGAGTACCTTTGATCTGTGTTTTGCTGTCTGCCCAGGAAGAGAAAACTTCTGTTACTGCAAATCCAGGCAAAGCGTGAAATGATCCACTTTCTTATCTTGGAGGAAATGCAATGTGCTCCAACCCTGCTGACTCTGAAAGCCAGCCCTGCCCTGTTTTGGTGTATGTGAATTGTAAGGACTATTGGAAAAGCTCAACCAACCTCAACAGCATAATCTACCCAATGAATTTTGGAGTATGTTGGGAAGTACTTTTTTTTTTTTTTTCTTTTTCTTTTCATCTTATGCAGGTCCATGGAAACCCTTGTGGTTCTGCAGGTACACACTGAATTATGAAGGAGCTGCAGGCACTTAGAGAGCTGGAACATGATTAATAACTGTCAAATTATAGGTAACACTTAAAATCCCTTAAATCTCTCCTCCTCTCCATGCTTTCCCATCTTTGTTATTAGGAACTAGGACATGAGCCTGTGGCTAACCTGTCATTCCTTGATACAGTCTGTTTGTGGTTGGAGAAGATCTGAAGCCCTGGGCAAGGTGTTCAGAAACTTTAGGACGAAGTCTTGACCTGGAAGAAAAATGGAGTATTGGTGAGCTGCAGCTCTGAGGATCTCATGAGGGAGTAGCTGGTATGTGCATGCCAACACAAGAGTCCTCAGACTCTTTCATCATGAGAACCACATCTTGACTGCCAGATAAACCACCTCCTTTTGTACTTGCAATTGCAAAATAGCTCCGTAGCAGCTCTAGCAATTGCTCAGAGAGAAATGAAATAGAAAAACATTTCATGCATCCTTAGTATAGCAGGTGTTTCTACAAAAAAGACTAATTGTGCATTTTCATTTGGCCTTTTGCTGCATCTCTGCTCTGTGTCTGAACTGTTTCCTCTGCCAGGAGAAGAGTAGAGCCAGCCAACTTTTTGCAGACCTCTGCCAGTGTGTTTAGGTTTGTCAATTTTAGGGTTGTTTTGTTGTATGCATTTTTTTATTTTTATTTTTGTTTTAGATTGCACTGAGTAAATTGTATTTATTCTGCTGTCATGCAGTGTTTTGTAGAAAAATTTAAGAAGTAACATTTTTTCTCATTCCTCTTTGCCGTGGAGGCCTCAATCTTGCATTAAGTTACAGGAGAAACCCAGAAACAGTTAATCGAATGTTAAACAAAACGAATGAGGCTTGCACGGTGCCCCGAAGGTCATTAGACTCAAGGTCTGAGCGGCTGCCAAGGGGAGCGAGCTCCAGCGCAGGAGCACTCATCTGAGAAATCCTCACTGCTGGACATTGGGTGGTCGAACCTCAGCGCTGGCTGCAGGCGCCTCCCAGCTAATCTCAGCTGCCATGGCTGGACATGGGGTAGGAGCTCTTCCCTTCTCGTACTCTAGTCCAGAGAGATTTGCAGGTGGGTGGGGGGAAAGGACTGGCCTATTGCTCCAGCCACTTAGCTGTGGAGCTAGCAGGTAGCTCTAAAATCATAAAGACAGACTGTCGCTGGAAGTCAAGTCTGATGAAAGAGCCCCTAAAGTTTGGAAGTGGCACAGAGTTGAGGGGTGCAGTGGGCAGTGCAGAGGGACCCCAGTGGTCAACTATGCATCTTCTGAACTGCTCTCCATCCCACCCACATCTTTCTTTCCCCAAAACAGTGACTGTGCAGAGGAACTGCTGGTTTATTTTCCCCTTGAGTCCTGTCTCTTTCCAGCTTTGAGGTGGGAGTAAAACCACAGGATATGGATGCAAGATGGAAACAGAGAGGCACAACATTGTTCAACTTCAAAGTGTCTTCCAGTGCCTCTATCTGGGTTATAGAAGCGTTTTGACTAAATGGAGTCGTTAAGGGAAAACTCTTATGAGCAAGGGTGAAGATGCATTCAGGTACCTGTGCACTGCTACTCATGAATGTTAAGCCTATAGATCAAACGGATTCCTATAGATCAGTTTGTGTTTCTGTAGGATGGTCTTGCTGTTATATTCCTCATTCATGCCATAACTGCAGGAATCCTTTATGCCAGTGTAAACATTGATCTCACTGCATGTTGGAATTACATAGTATATAAGATGGGGAGAGCTGGAATAACAAGAATGTGTGTTTTCTGAAAAAGTAGAAGGTTTCTGAAGGAGGAGTTTTCCCAGAGGGAGCTAAGTTTACAGATCTAACTCATTCAGGCCTTTCTGGTTCTGAGGCTGACACACACATGCACAAACACACATGGTCTAGTATCTATTTCATGGACACATTCTTCCCATCTCAGTGCGTAAAGGTCTTGAAAGCAATAGCTACTGGCAGTACCCCAATTCAACATAACTAATAGGTCCTTCCCAGTTACAAAATCACTAGGGACACATACCTAAAGGAAAGTGTTGCTTAAACTACCTTGCTGTCAGAGGCAATGAAACAAGCTCTGTGTTCTTTTGGGCTTGATTTGTGGGTTCTTTGTTTTTTCAGTCCTGGTTTGTTGACTGCATCTCAAGAACTGTGTTGCTAGAGCAACCTCACTAGCATAACTCCTGCAAGTAATCCAATGGTCTGCAGGAGTTTTTAGATATAATTATAAACTTGAATGGGTCTTCATTATTTTGCAACTTTCATGGACTAATAGGCTGCAATTGGAAGAAAAAAAAGGAAAGATCTGGCTCTCTGTAAACTGTCTCTGACTCAGTGGATCTGCTTGGATTTAAGAGGGCATGTCCTACCTGTATACTTAAAACAGGTATTTTGGATCAGCATCAAGTGGCCTAACGCTGCTGACTTACACACAGCATCTTCAGTTTACATCTTCTCAGTGTTTGAACCTGGTGTTACATGTGTAGACATGTAATTACTGGAGTGACACTGCCTCCTTGCAGCTCAGTACCTTTGACCTTCTGCTTACTTGTTCGTAGTGTGAGTATAGAGATATGGAAGTACATCTATGAGCAGAAAATATCTATGCTTTACTGTCTTTTCCTGTGTACCTAGGTGGGAAATCTTAGCTACAATAACTATCCAAGAAAGCTTTTTGACGCAAATAATCATCAGAGGAAACAAATGCCCTTGTGGTTTCTACCGGGTAAGTACATCCTGAATCTCCAGGCTAACAGGAACAGTTCTTTACAGGCTGACATTCATTTTCCAGGTCTAAATTTCAGTTAAGAGTTTGTTTTTACATTGGCATCCCTCCTAGCAATTGTTACACTGCCTGTTCATACTTCCCAGCCTATAGGAGCCATGGAGAGGTTTTATCTTAGTGGTCTCTATCTCTATGGTCACCAAAACAGCTCAGGCATATTCTTTGAACAAAATTAATTATCGTCAGGTTATCTAGGAGTTTGACTCAGGCACTGTATTTCACTAATAAGCATCCATTTAAAGAGCTTGTATTTAAAAAGAATTGTTATCTAACGCTTACTGGCAGGTTTTGAATCTTACATCCCTGTTGAGATTGATTTCCTGTACATGCCTAATTACTGATGACACAGTAAGATATAAGCTGAAGAGCTATCTTGCAACTGAAAAAAAAAAAAAAAAAAGCTTTAAGCCAAGTTCCCTTTGGCTCAAACAGAAGGAGGCTTCATTTTATTTCATTTAGTAAAGTCACCATGGAAGGATCCTCCTCCAAGTACTTGCAGAAGTATAAGGAGTGTGTACAAAACAAGTCCAGACATCAAACAGGGCAACTCCCAAAATGTCTCTGCATTTGTAAACATGCTTCACATCTGCTCAGCTTTGCAGTAAGCATGAAATATAAAACTTGGGATATCTGTCCTATTCGTTTGAATGGATGCTAATTCAGGCTGTGGTTTGACGAGATGGAGGCTGCAGCTGCAGCTGGATTGAGAAAGTGTTTTAAGAAAAAAACAAAAACACCCTGAAGAATGAAAGATATTTTTATTAAAAAAAAAAAAAAAGAAAAATAGAAAAGGATCGGTTGCCTGATTTGATTTACAGTGCAGCCCCATGAATAGTTGTAGGAGCAAATGCCTAAGCAGCGCACTGCAATGTAGGAAAGGGGAGAGAACAGGAAGCTGTAAGAGTAACTTTTAGCCTTTTCTTGAGATCCAACAACAGTCTTTGCTCGGAAGGATGCTCACTGATGATAAGAACATGGAGGGAAGGAGAGGAGTTTCTGTTTCACAGAGATACATGTCATTTATGCCAGTGTATGCGTGAAAATGGCTGGGGACGCCTTTACTGAAGTTGTGTTTCGCCACAACTATGGACTGGCCTGCTTCAGCAGGAGTACTTTCCCAAATAAAAACCTTCAGTGAGAATGTGAGCATGGCACTTTATATGCATGTAAAGAGGAAGGGCTTATTCCCAAGTTAGAAAGACAATATACTTCATCAGTGAAAGGCAGTTTTATACCAGCATAGGTACCTGCATAGCAGGGACAGTACTCTTAGAGCCCACATCAATTAAAAATGTATATATAGTAGTATCCACCTATATTTGGTACATAATTATAACATATGAAGAGTGTGTGGAGAGCAGGGTCAAGACGTGTGCCTAAAGCAAGTGGCATGAGATGACCTTTGTCCATGGTAGGGCACTAAATGAAACTATTTTAAGCATCAGTGCAATGTTGTAGGCGCTACAATGTCACCCGGATCCAGCTGCTGGAAGAAGTTTTTGCCCACGGTTGCTTATCACTGTCCTTTTTCTGCAAGTTACTTCTCTAAGATTTACTGATGGAGATGATTATCTGGTCTACCTCATGCATTTCAGTCACAAATCTACTTGTACATCTGACCATCATAAAGGGTGTCTGCACACAGCCTGAGGCTTTTGGCTTGGGGGAAATCATACTGAGTACAGGAGTGAGCTGACCAAGACCAATCTAGACTTTGAAGAGTCCGAGCAGTCTGAAGTTAAAAGAAAAGGGTCTAACAGTTTTACAAGCTTGTACACTATTTGATTCTGTAAATACAAGCACCATGAATCATGCTGTCACTGGACCACTTTCTTACATTAATTAAACTATTTTCTTTCTCTCCTCATGCCAATGTCTGGTCAGACTTCCAGCCTAGAGCACTCATTTCCATGGGAAATGCTCTTCTTTGTGTAAAGTATTTTTGTAGATGTAGAGACAGTAAATCTGTCACCAGTTAAACGTGTAAAGCACAATTTCAAGAGCGCTGCAACCTCCCGGAAAACCTTGGGCTTCAGGGTGTAAATGTTAAATAATGTGTAGCAAAAATTATGTGTATATGTTAGTGGGGGAGAAAGGGAAAAGTAACGCATCCTAACAGGTAAGTCAATGTCTGCTGCTCAAGGACTTGAAATTGGCTTGACTTTCCGTCCGTGACAAAACTGCACTTTATATGTGCTCTGGGGCTTGTGTCACTTGGCCCTGTCCCAGCCTTAGCTCTAGTGTGGCTGTATGTCAGCTATCCTGCATGAGTTATTATTTATATGACAGCAGAATCCAGAAGATTAAGCTAGGACTGTACCCCATTGTGTTAAGCACCATGCAAACACATACCTAACTCTGAAGATCTTATGCTCTAATAAGTCCAGCAAAAAGAGCAGGAAGGAAAAGGGAAAGAGAAAGAGAGGGAGAAATGAGAAAATACATCCAGGGTCACGCAGCATGGAAGCAAGGCAGCAGAGGCTTCTGCTCCTGGGTGGTGGCTGTTTTCGTGCCTTCCCAGCAGCAAGTGCTGTGTCACTCAGTGCTGCAGAAGCTACCTTTTGGGTAAGATCTATGTGCAGGACTTTTCCTGCTGTGACTGTCACAATGTAAGGGCATTTCTCTTCCTGTATGACTGCTACACCCTACTGCCAGAGTTACTGTCCTAATGCCCTGGTCAGTGAAAAAAAGCACATGTGCCTGCACAGTGGTCTTTCTAGGGCAAAGTCCCACTTTCCAGGTCCAAACTGCTTGTGCTCAACAGGTCTCTGAGTAGCTGTAGGTAATGCCCACTAGCCTGCGCAGACCGCTTTGGGCTAAAAGATGCTGTGCGAAGGATACGACGTTGTTAATGCAGTCAGTTTTCCAAGGGAGCTGTGAGAGGTTATTTTTGTTCTTTGTTGTTTTCCTAGCTCACAAAAATGTCAGATATTCTCCAGAGTACAATAGACCTCAGCCATGCCGCTCCTGCCTGTTTCTATTCATCTCCTTAATAGGAGTGAGGGAGCAGCGACAGGGCAGCCCCCTGCAAAATCCTTCCTGAGTCTTGTGAGTGACGAGGCGGGTAGGAAATGATGGCAGAGTGCTGATGAGATTAGCACTTCTTGATCTTCATGGTGTAAGAAATCCCCAGGACTAACTCATCCTTCAAGATCCTCAGTGAGTAATAGGTGTTTTATCATCCTTTCAATTAGAAAGCATTTATCAGCAATCTTTGCTAACTCACTGCATGAATTGACCTGTCATTCACAGCCTCAGCCCTTGGAACTGGTAATTAAATTTAGCAATCTGTCTCAACAGCTCTGACTGAAATATGCAGTATGTTTCCATGTGGGCAGGCAGACACTTTGGGTTTTCCTTCCCAAAAGGAAAGAGTTTCAGGAAAAGTGAATGAATGATCCCGGATGCATAGGCGGACACAAGCCAGTACCTGCAATCATCAAATCCTTGTAAGCATTGTGGGGCATGGAGCGGCTCCGCCAGGGCTAGGGGCTTTTCTTTGTGTTAGTTGACATAAGATAGGGCCAGCACATAGAGCTCTCTAGCCAGGCAGTACCTGTTTCATCTCAACACTTACCAAGCTGCCTGGTTTGGGGCTGTGAAGGAGAAACATGCCTCATTCTTGACCCCTTACTCAACTTCAGAGTTTCATATCCATACCTAAGCTCATCTCAAGCTATGGCACCAGAGGACATGTTTTATTGACAATGGAAACATTAAAAAGTCAGCCAGTCTCCTGCAGAAGGAACTTATTTAAGGAGTTAGACCCTATGGAAAAACATCCAAACACCGTGTGTTACCCTGAGATTTCCTGGGCTTGACCAGCCAATAATTTTACATGCATGAAGGTGGTGAACAGAGGCCTGTTCCCCTATAAAAGAGTAAAATGGCTGCATTTTTGAGTTTGCAGGGATATGGTTTTGCAAACTGCAATTCCAAATGGACTGGAAGTTTGTTTTTCATGGTGGAGCTGTGCTGTGTTGGAAACTACTTCCTTACATCAAAATTATTTTGTACTAACTTGAAGATAATGCTAGTAATATCACTGGTACTGCTGACATTGAGACTGCATCTCTCTTGTTATTTCTTGCCCTTTCTCTAAGGTGCCCAGGTATCATTTTCTTTTTAAGAGGAGAGGAAATTTGAGGGTTGCTTGCACCGAGATGTTACTTCTAGTACATGAACTTCCTTTCCCTGGTCTAAATTTTTGGTTGATGCTAGCTGATATAGGCTGATTTTCAGCAGCTAACCCACTGCTTTCTTTAAGCAAACTTTGCTCTGAAAATACACATCTTAAAAAACAAAACAAAACAAAACAAAAAAAAAAACAAAAACAAACAAACAAAAAAAACGCTCTTCACAACTGCCAAAGGGCACAGAAATGCCAGCATCCCCACTACTCATTCCAGAATTAAGTTCAAGTTGCCTGGTTTGGGGTTTTGGAGGAAACACACAATTTGCAGAGTTCACTGAACCTCACAGAGATTTGGTTTTGCATTTGTCTGGAACTGCCCTGAAATATTCCTTAGCCCATTTTACCACAAGAAATATCCTGAGGGGATTTTTCTTTTTTTTCTTTTTTTCTTTTTTCCCCTTTTGCTACAACAGCCTTGTCTCCATGCTGTCTTAAGGAGACCACCTACGATTTAAAGAAATAAGGACCTCCGTGAAAAGTACAGGCCAAACCTGATATTTAAGGGCCAGCTCCCCACAGTATTTATCTAGTTGCCTGAGCTGGTTAAACCACAGGAGAAAAAAAAAAAAAAAAAGAAAAAGCATTATCATGTGAGGGCTGGGAGGGTAACCTCTGTTAAAAAACAACAACAAAAACAAAACCAGCCACCTGAAAACAATGGGAAGGGTGCCAAGGAGAGGAAAGGAAAAGGACTGTGATACTTATGAGGTATAGCAAATAATAGCACTGGGAGGTAGCACAGCTT